GATGTAAGGGGGCCGGTCTTCAGTTTAACGGTTTTGGATTTACTGCTGACACTTTAGGGTTAAGGGGTTTAGGATTTAAGGTTTAGGGTCCAAGGGCTTTGGATTTGGTGTACTTGGGGTTTGGAAGTATGGATTCAGGGGTTTTGGAGTTAGGGTCTAGGGGCTTTGGATTTAGGGTTTAGGGTTTTTAGATTTAGGATTTACGGTTTAGGGTTGAGGCATTTTAGATTCAGGGTTCAGGGTTTAGGGGTTTTCGATTGAGGGTTTACCTGGAACTCCAATGTAGTACCTTTTTGGTTGTCCTAATAACAGTCCTAACCCAAAAACTATACCAAACCCAAAACGGAATTACATTGGAGGGTCTAGGTAGGCGTTTTGGACTTAGGCTTCAGGGCTTCGGGGGTTTTCGACTTGGGGTTTAGGGTTTAAGCCTGTTGAATCTAGGGTTTAGGGTTTAGGGGGGTTTGGGATTCAGGGTTTAAGGGTTTAGGCTTCAAGGCTTTTGGATCTAAGGTTTAGGGTTAAGGGGTTTTGGATTTAGGGTTCAGGGGTGTAGGGGTTTAGGAGTTAAGGTTTAGGGTCTAAGGGTTCTGGATTCGGGGTATTGGGGGTTTAGGGTTTTTTTTGTTTTTTTTTGAGGGAAGGTAGCGGACTTTTCGATCCAGCCTGCTGGTCCTTTAGGACCCTTCCAAACATGTCTCACCAGGACCAGAACCTCTTCAGTTCAAGAGCTTGCGTTGATTACGGAACGCCTCAAGCACAGGTAACCCCAGATCAGCTGCAACGGTGATGCTGGGAACCAATCCCTGGGCCCACCACTGATACAGCACGACCCCCAAAGGACTTTGTACAAAGCTCAAAGGGTCTTGAAAAAGAAGACCAGGTGCCTCATGTTCACTGGCAACGGGGGGCAAAGCAGACGCATGCTCAGAGCTGTTAATAGACCCTGCTGGCAAGCTCACTTGTGCACCGTTGTCAGGAGGACGGAGTCGTTGTGACCGTGTCCACTGAAGCTGATCTGCCATGGCCATGTCCTCCCACTTACGTCGAGTCAGCCTGACAGTGCTTGCCTCCGACCCTGAACTAGCAGCGTCCTGTTCCCGAGCTTCCAGGTAACTTTCCCACCGTTGTTCATCGTAGAGAGCTTCTTCGGCCTGGACTTCTTCGTACTCCGCAGCCGCTTCCTGTTGCTTTTCTAGCAGCAAGTCCTGCTGCATTCGAGCTTCCTCATCTCCAGGATCCGCATGCGATGCCATGACAGGAGCAGCAGCCACACGCGAGTCCATCACAGGACTGGTCGCAGAGCCATCTCCTGGTTCCGTTTCCTCCTCCGCCACTGTGGAGGCACTGTCCACCACCATGCAACGCCCGGGGCAGCCCGACCAGGGACTCTTCCGAGCGGATGGAGGGTAGTAACACATTCCACCATCAACTTGCCCAAGCACTGTCATCCTCCGTCGGCGGTGGCGCTGGCCCATCACCCGCGAAGGCGCCTGTGACAGCTTCCAGGCTCTGAGCTCTATTGAGCATGAGGCGTCTGCCCGCGCCCTGTCCGTAGCGGTCAGCAAGCCTGTTGCGGAGGATCAAAACCCGCGCGAGGCGTAACGCGCTGCATATGGAAGGCGAAAGTGCTGACCCCCTTTACCACATGGAACAGTGACCCTTGCATCAGCCATCACCCTCAGCCGAGCTTCGTCCACGGTCCTCTTGCAGCCGCCCACTTCGCAGGCCACGCGTGCGAGCATCTACTAGCTGCGCCACTTGAGCTTGAAACAAGCTGGTGAGTTGGGAAAACGCTGCCAATAGGGTGGCCGAGTCCTCAGCGTTGTAATCCTCGAGCGTAGCTTGGATGTTATCTAAAAGATAACGGGGCAGCCCAAGATTATTGCGCTCATCGCCCTCGGGCCTCAACTCCATCAAGGAGAGCCAGACGTTCATGGCGTCCTCGGTGGTGAAGCCCACCGACTCCTCGACCGGGACCTCGACGGCGTCGTCGTCTTCCACGTACTCCACATGTGCTGGCGCCCTCGTGTGAGATGAGCAGGATGGACCGGTGGAAGGTCTCGGCGGGTCTCTGCGGTTGCCCCTCCAGGACCTGTGCGCGACCTGCTGCGTCCTCCCCGTCTTGGCCGGTCACGCCTGTCACGGTCATCCCTATCACGGCGCAGCCAACGGTCACGGGGGCGCCGCTGTCTCCTCCATGGCGGCGTGGAGCCCAATGCCATGAGAACAACCGTCTCATCATCTTCCGCAGGTTCTCGAGCATGTGTCTGACCCCGGTGTGTTGGTTCACCCTTGTCACAAGCACCACCGTCCGGGCCGTCACTGCTGCAACAGCATCTGTCCTGCACCGCTTCACTGGGTAGCCTTGCTCGTGTGCCGGTCGCGGATGCCCAGGTGTTTCCAAGAGGCTTCGCTTCCCTGAGCAAGCGTGGTGCCATGTCCGGCAGCAAAACCAGTAGGCTGAGGAGGGCCTGTAGCTACCTCAGCGGAGTCCAAAGGCATCGCTGGAGTCGGAGGCATAGTAGATCCCGAGGAGGCCCCAGCATGAAGGTCAGATGTAGGAGCATCATCCGGCTCAAGTGGATGCCGAGGCTCACTGGCATCCCCAACAACCTGACTCTGGTCCCCTGGGCGCGTTCGCCTAGGTGCTGCGGAACTTAACCCTGGTGAGGCTCAAGACGACCATCCGGTAGAGCCCGACGTGGAGGATATCCCTGATCGTCATCACGGTATTCAACTTGTTGCTGCGTCACAACTGGCTCCTCTCCTTGATCATGTAGGGAACGATGTGCAGGTTGTCCCTGATCATCACCTTGTGTGCAACTTGGTCCTGCTCATCAACTCGTCCCTCACTTGCACCCCGATTGGCCGGTGCTCCCTGACAAGGCCGGTCCTGAACTGGCACTGGGTCACAATCTCGCTGCTCGACAGGTTCCAGATGTCCAAGACCATTTCTTCATCCCAGCCATGAGGGTTGGTTGCCTGCAGGGCCACCCGCCGCTTGTGCTCCTTGGAGGCTCTGCGAGCGGCGTTCCTTGCGGTCCGCCAGAAGTCCTCAACCCAGTTGGCAACACTGTTGCTGTGTTCGTGCACGGAAGGCCAAAATTCTTCCCTGACATATTCATATAGCCGGGACATTTGCCTGACCCCTTCAACCCTGCTTTGAAGGCCGCGTCGCACAAAGCCGGATAGGAGCCACAGGAGATTTCTGGCTTTGCCCCTGTTCCTGTCTCGCACGGCCACAATCTTGCCGCGCAGAACATTCTCAAGAATCTCAGCCGTCTCCCTTGTAACTCGGCCTGGCTGGGCGCCATCTCTCTGCATCAAAGAGGTGGCATCCAGGGCTGGGACATCAAGGGCCCAAGTGCCCGGCGCCATGCTCACATTACCCCATTCATCTCCACCAGTGAGCCTCGACTGCTCTTCCGCAGGGTCCAAAATTGCATGGCCGCCTTCACGGTGGTATCCAAGAGGGTTCCCTTTCAGGATCAACGCGCAAAGCTCCAACCAAATCCATATGTAAGAAAACTGCATGTCGAAGGGCGGTGCTAAGGAAGTACAGCAAGCTACCCTTGATCTGTCAGCAACGGAAAACGTGCTTCATACGCTCAAGGCACCACTGTACGGCAAACATCCTGCCCAAAACTAGTATGGCAAAGCTGACTGCCTCCCCGAGGCCCAACTCACATCCAAGCGCTTGACACACACACTCTCTTTAGACTTCCATGTTGTGCGGCACAAGGCTATAGTCCGCCACGGGCCCCCTGCTGCCCGGTCGAGATGGCGCTCATGAGTCATCAACTTGGCAAAACCTACCCCGGTGGCGTATCCCTGCTGGGTTCTGTTGTTGTCGCTCCCACCACTGCAAATCCCGAAAGGAGTCTGCCAGCACCCCAGCTTCTGGTACCGGCCGGTTTGCACACCTGGCGCGGTGGCCACTGAACCGCCAAATGGCTTGCAACCATCGAGTGCTCCATCTGCTGACCCCGCTGGCATGCAATGCGCATCGCGCTTCCCTGAAAACCCTGGTGTGAAAGTCCAGCCAGCCACGTTTCATCTCGATGGCGGCGTCTGCGGAGCATCCATACAATAAGCTGAAACTGGAAACTGTTCACCATGCCAAGTGCTTGTACATCAGACTGCAAACCACCACTGCACCACAGAAGACAGTTGCCCACACAAATGTCAAGTACCCTGATTCTCTGTTTGAGGCTAGACCGTCGGCAAAGGATGTGTTTCATACCCCAAAAGGCGTCCCTCGCACGTCCCAACAATGGGGCCAGGATGTCCGATGCTGTTTGATTCACCCGGAAATGAATTCCCATGACCGTGAGGTGCTCATCCGCAATCATAGTGTGTCCTCCCACGACCACCTGATCCTGTGACTGGCAATGCGGGCTGCGGTACAATTGACATTTATCCGCATTGAGCAACAATCCCCACTCCGAAAGGACCATGGCCAACTGTTCCAGCCGCAACCCCAACGCAGCACCATCGACGTCCCACATAATTGCGGCGTCCATGAACAATATTTCCCTCAAGTTGCACCCTTCAAACCCAGGGCACTCTGGTGACCAACCGAACCGTTGACTGGCTTCTTCAACGCAGATGTCCATGACCAAAGCGAAGAACGCGGGGCTCTCTACGGCCCCTTGCCGGATGCTGCTCTTCATGCAAATCCTCGATTGGGACCACTTAGTTTGCAGGATGGCCTGCGTTGGTCCAAGCAAGCGATGCCAAGCACGAGTAATCCACGTTTTTCCCAACCGGCTCACCAGTGTCCTCATGAGTTTGCCCCTCGAGACGCGATCGAAAGCTTTTTGAAGGTCAAGCTTCACCCAGCGAAACCCAGCCTTCCACTCTCGTTCCAGCGACATCATCCTGGCGACACAGAAAACATACTCCGTGGCCTGCCTTCCCTTACCTGCGCATTGCCGCGACGAGGGTTCGCCAAGTGACTCAAGACTCTTCTCCAGAAGCATCCGTGAAAAAAGCTTACTGGTTCCAGACCCCAAACTGATCGGCCGTACGTGCTTGGCAGTTTCAGGCTTAGGAATCTTCGCCAGCAAAATCATGACAACCGACCCCCATTCGGTGGGAATGTTCCCGGTGGCGAGAATGTCATTGAACCACGCCAAAAGCTTGGGCCCCTCTGTACTGTGTCCGGCCAAGGAAAGGGGCAATTCATGTGGGACCCCGTCTGGACCAGTGGCTCGACCCAATCGACCTTTCCTGGCCGCCGACAAGAAATCTTCCATGGAGAACGGATCGGATGATGTTTCCCCTCTCTCATCCCAAGGATCAAGCGGCTCACCCTCATAAATTGCCTGCAAGTGTTCATGAACTTTCTCATGGGACATTCCAAGGTTGACATCGGCGAAGTGGTCCTCCCAGTTTTGCTGCACCCGCCTGGCCTTACCAAGCTCCTTCCAGTCCCCAACTGATGCTGCATCAAGCCTGGTTTGCTCCCAACGATGCCTCTCATTTCGCCTGGCCTCGTGTGCTCTCTTCCACGCTGCCGCTGTGTTGTTCCGTCTAGCTTCAGAAAACAAGGTTTTGACCTGGTCCGAGTCCTTGTACCCCTGAGACGCTTTGCATCGAGTGTGTGCATGTGCCAAAGATTGCAACACATTTTGATCAATGTGCTCGGATACTGGCAACTCTCTGACAACCTGTCGAGGTCTACAATCAAAACGTTTGGCTTGCCCAGTTGCACACTGCAGATACAAGTAGCACATGACTGCCTCGTGATCCGTGCCGACAACACAATGACTGTCCTTGGCAATCCACAGTGGACCCGTCCTGATTCTGGCTCCTGCAATCATGTCAATAACATTGCCCCGAACCCCCTGCTTTCTCGGCCTGGATGTTGGCAGTCTCTCATGTCCCTCTTTCACCCCAATGACAGACAACCCTCTGTGTCCAAAAGCTTCGAGCATGCGGACCCCTTTACCATCCATGCCGTAAGCTACTCCATGCGGTTGATCACCTCCCACAGTCCATCCCAAGTTTGCATTGGTGTCCGCGGCCAAAACTGCGGGCAACATGTTCGGCGGCAAAGCCTGCAGCGCCTCCCTCACCTCTGTTGAGTGCTGTAGTTGAGAGCAACCCTGGGTGAAGTGACAGCTCCCGAACCAAGCTTCAACCCCCAGCAAAACATGTCGGAGTTTCACCCAAATGCCCCGAGAACATTGTTTTCTGCGCATAACTGTCCAACACTGAGGTCTGTAAGCAACAGCAACTCCTCTCCATGCATCTTCAGCTCTATGTTGCAGGATAGTCCAACCCTCAAGCTCCACACTTTTCCATCCTGCTTCGATGCGGGGAACCTCTTGCAAGCCAACCACTACTGAGCTCAGCCACTGTTGCGAAGATGTGTCGTCTGAGCCACCGAATTCAGCAGTAGCCTGTCTAGTCCCTTCAGGAAAAGCGCTCAAACAGGAACCCCCTACATTCCAAGACACCACGGCACACTTCAGCTCACTCTGTTCCAGTCAGCGGCACGTCTGCTGAATCGCATTCTCCACATCTGATTGCGGTTTGCCAAGGGCCCCTGCCAAGGAACGTAGGTCAATCCATGGACGGTCTGGGTTGCGCTCGTCAACATACAGCCCCTCAATCTTTGCCTCCGGCTTCTCCACGCCGGCCACAAGGGAGTCCGCGACCCACACTGATCCAGAGTGGTACTCCAAGTCTACCATTTTGGCCGTGAAATCCACATCCAGCTGAGTCAAAGCTCTCTTGAGCCAGGCCGCATGGGCCCCTTTTCGCCTGACCTCAATCGGCTTGCTGAATGCACACCACATTCTCTTCTGCTGACTACTCCGGATATCCCCGTCCACAAACCCTTTGACCACTGAGAACATGCGTTGACGGAGGGCCTCCGGGGTCTCATCTTTGCGGGAATTGAAGTGCATCAATGCCACCGATCGTCTTGGGCCCGTGGTAAACGCTTCATTGTCAATCTCGGACTCAACCCCAAGCTGTCGGAGTGCGCGGGCAATATCTTGCAAGATGACAGGGCGACGTGTCCCGCGCTCCCATCCACCATATACCAGAGTGCGACTCCGTTCACGGTCCGGCCCTTCAGAGGTGCTGGCAGTGCTTAGGGGTGCCTTCTTCTCCAAGAGTGCCAATCTTGCCTGAAGATCTCCCACAATCCCTTGCAGCGTTTCCACCTTGGTGTCTGTACTATCCAACCGGGTGTGCAAGGTGCTGAAAAGCTCATGGTGCTTGTCCTCTACTTTCTGGAGAGCAGCTTCCATGTTCTGCTGCTGCACCTTCGTGATTTGCTCAGCCTGCTCACTCAGAAGGTTACGCAAGGCACCTATGTCCAAAGTAACCACGCTGGCTTCGGTTTTGGGTTTCTTGGCTTTGTCCCCCATCCCGTCATCGTCACTAATATCATACTGCTCTTGCTTCTTGCGTGGGGATGCCATAGCTGACTGCAATGCAAAGTCACCCTTCACACTCTGGACCTAGACGCAAAGTAATCAGTCAGGCCCAAGAGGGAGTACAGCAGCGCCTCGCCCAGCAGAAGGCCACCCTAGGGGATCAATCAGGTACGCACCCTCGAGGTGAACTCGCGCGAGGTAGACGCAAAGTGGTCCCTTCCGTCACTCCCTTCTCGTATATGGCAGCACAGGAGAAAACACTACCCTGACCCCTTTGCCCTGGAGCCTTGAGCTTGAGCCTTGGCTTGAGCCAAGGTTTAGGGGTTTAGGATTTAGGGTTTAGGGGTTTTGTATTTATGTTTTAGGGTTGCCGGGTTGGATTAAGGGTTTGGGGTCTAATTTTGAGGGGCTTTGGATTCAGAATTTTGGGTTTAGGATCACGGGGTTTTGGATTTAGGGTTAAAGGGGACAAGCATCCGCTATGTTGCTTCGTTTCCAACAGCATACGGTTACCAGAGCATCCATGGCCAACCATCATAACGTGCGTGTTCGACTGCGCTCAATGATGGATCGTGCTCGAGTGCACTCGATGTTGGGAGCATGCATGTCCAAACCATAATAACGTTCGTGTTCCAAGAGCATACGGTTACCAGAGCATCCATGCACAAACCATCAGAACGTTCGTGTCCGAGTGCGCTCGATGATGAGAGGACCCATGGCCAAACGATACTTCCGTTCGTGTTCAAGTGCATTCGAGCTTGAGAGCATGCATGCCAAAACCATAACGATCGTGTTCGCGTGCACTCGATCTTGAGTGCATCCATGCCCAAACCATAATAACGACCGTGTTCGAGTGCACTCCATGATGAAAGCAGCCATGCCCAAACCATAATAACGATCGTGTTTGAGTGCACTCGATGATAGGAGCATCCATGCCCAAACCGTCATAACGTTCGTGTTCGAATGCACTCGATGGTTCCACGCGCTGCGGTCGTGGCGCGGTGTATAGGTGCCGCGGTCTGCGTGGGTGTGGCGTACGCGATGCGGTGTAGGTCCTGTGCTGTGTGTGGCCAGTGTAGGCGCCGCGAGGTACTGGGGCGAAGGCGTTGCAACGGCGCCGCCAGCAGCGCTGCCATGATTCCGAAGAGAAGTCTCCGGACGCTTCACGCGCCAGCGCCGCCGCCCACCGAAAACGGCGAGAGGGCGGTCGATTACGACAGGAATTCTCGGGACGCTCCACTCGCCAGCGCCGCCACCGGCCGAAAACCACGAGAGGAATTTTGAGGAAGTTCCACGCGCCAGTGCCGCCGCCCGCCGAAAACGGCGAGAAGGTGGTCGATTACGACAAGAATTCTCGGGACGCTCCACTCGCAAGCGTCGGCACCCGCCACAAACCACAACAAGGTCGTCGACTACGAAAAGAATTCTGAGGACGCTCCACGCGCCAGCGCCGCCACCCCCCCAAAATCAGGAGAGGGTCGATTCCGACCAGAATTATGAGGACGCTCCACGCGCCAGCGCCGCTAGCCACCAAAAACAGCGAGAGGGTCGACGATTGCAGACTACGAAGGGAATCCTGAGGACGCTCCAGGTGCCCCCCCAAAATCACGAGAGGGTCGTCGATTTCGAACAGAATTATGAGGACGCTCCACACGCCAGCGCCGCCGCCTGCCGAAAACAGCGAGAGGGTCGTCGATTCCTGCACGCGCACGCGTGCAACTTAGATGCAAACCCTGCGTGCACCTTTGACGCAAAAGGCGCGTGCACCTTAGACGTCGCGCCCCATCTGAAGGAAGTCGAGCGGGCAAACCGCTCGGAGCTTGTGGGCAATGTCCATGAAGAGGAGGAACTTGACCTTGATCTTCTGGCTGGGAGGATTCCACTCGGCCAAATCCACGGCCACTGCTTGCCATGCTTCATATTAGGGATATGTACTTGCGGGAGGTATTTTCCCAGAACTCGTCCCACCTGGCTTGAGGCTTGAGCAAGCTGGGCAGTGGTGATTGGTAGCAACGCCATTCAGGGTGTTCAGCATCAGCAAAATCTTGGCCAAGTTACGATTGGTAGGATGTCCAGCAGCTCTCCGGAACTTGCTCACATTGACTTAACCTGGCGGGCCCCGCTCGGCGAAACTTTAAAACCGTAATCTGGCGGGCCCCGCTCGGGGAAACGCTAAACATTAAGCCTGAAACTTTAAACCTCAAACTTTTATTCCGGCTAACTTAATTTCACGGACAACCTGACGATATCTGATGGACTTTTCGTTCGGCGAAACATTAAACCTTAAACTTTAAGCTGTAAATACCAAACCCTGAACCTGGCTAACTGAACTCAAACGCTCTGCGATTGAAAAAATCAATCGCAATTGATTTTTTCAATCGAACATTGATTTTGTCCAAAAATCAATCGTGAACTTGTTTCTTCAATTGCAGATTTCCATTTCTTAATCGCAGAATTCCTGTTTTCAATCGCAGAATTCCTTTTTTCAATCGCAGAATTTTTTCAACCGCAAAATTCACACCTTTTTGTTACATGAAAAACCTGTGGTCTGTTAGGGTTTAGGGTTTACGGTTTAGGGTACCCTAAACCCTAAACCTCTGTGTCTGGCTGCAGAGCCATAGATTTCACATGTGGCTGCACAGACAATGCTCATATATGTGTGGCTGCAAAGCCATAAATGTCACATGTGGCTGAACAGCCCATTCTTGTAAAAGTCTGGCTGCAAAGCCATAAATGTCTGGCTGCAGAGTCACACATATTTCGATGCATGTGGCTGAACAGCCAATGCTCATATGTGTCTGGCTGCAAAGCCATAAATGTTACATGTGGCTGAACGGCCTATTCGTGTAAATGTCTTGCTGCAAAGCCACACATGTCTGGTTGCAGAGCCACACATGTTTCAAAGCACGCCTCTCCGGCCATGTCTAAACCACATTCATTGAATTACAAACATGCCTGGCTGTTCAGCCATGGCTCACCATACATGTCACACATGTTTCGAACCATGGCTCTATCCGTTGAATCACAAGCATGTTGAGCTGTTCAGCCATGGTGTTTCCGCCATACACGTCACACACATGTTTCCAAGCATGGCCCTATCCATTCAGTTACAAACATGCTTGGCTGGCCAGGCTCTACCTATTCAATTACAAGCATGCTGGGCTGTTCAGCCCTGGCTTTTCAGCCAAACATGTGACATGAAGCATATGTTGCGCAACATTGCATGGCTCACTCTTTTTTCTGCACCAGGCCTGTTACGCTGCTGCTGCTACTGCAGGTGTTCAGTAACACATGCCCAACATGGCTCATATTGAGGGAACATGACATGGATGCAACATTTGCTCCAGAAAGGCAGCAGGCAAGGTGAATCTTGATCTGCTGCAGCTGATGCTCCTGCTACTTCATTACTTCTACTGCTTCTGCTGCTTTGCATGTTGTGGTCATGACCACAAGGTCTGCATGCAGAAGAGCTGGCATCATTACAATGCATATTCTGTACACTGTGCATCAAGCAACATGATCAAAGTCAATTTTCCTGCAGCTGAAGGACTTGTATGTTTCAGCATTATGGTTCCTGACAGCGTAGGCCTTCATGATCCACTTTGCAAGCTGTGTTCGCTCTCTCCCCGGGCTGGGCTTTTCTACCAAGGCCTCAAAGATATCATCTTGCTCCTTGTCATTGGTGTCATGGGACTCACACCGGCATTGTCCTGAGTGAATCTGCTTCAACTGTTGTCGATCAGCAGGCTCCAAATAGTCAAACAGAGACTTAAGTCCTGCAAGTCACGCAGCAGGTGCCAATGTTGATACAATTCAGCATGGAGATGTAGAAGTTCAGGCTCTTTGGGAACAGCAGGTCCACCTCAGCCTCTGCCTCTCTCAAATCTTGCTCGAGTAGCTGAAGATGCAGACCTTACTCATCGATCATCTGAGGAGAAAGCTCTGCACCTTCTACTTCTTCAAAACTTGTCCAACCTGAAGAAGCAAAAGATGCAAAACTTTCCCATCGATCATCTGATGAGCAGTCTGCTCCTTCTGCTTCTTGTGCAGGATCAGGCACTGCTGCAGTTTCTCCTGGTGCTTCTAGCGCTCGAAGATCAACTTCCATATCTCCAGAATCAGGTAATGCTGCCCTTTGTCCTGCTGCTTCTAGCTCTGGGATTGCAGGGAGGGTACCAACAGCATGCTCAGCATGCCTGCCATGCCTGAGGTCTCATGCTACAAAACTGCTTCATAAGCCTCCTGGACTTCATGCTGACATGTCCCACGCAGCCAAGTTCAACTATCAACGCGCTGCTGCCATGCCAAAAACCACCACAAGTCCATGGAAGTCTTTGCCACTTTTGATAAAGAGTTGTCTTTCCAGCCTTGCTGGATCAAAATGAAACTCAGCAAGCTGCACTTCTTCGGGAGACCTGGCACCTGTTAGTATCCATGCATCGAAGAACTAATGAAAATGTGAACACCTGTGACAAATCACTTTGCAGGCTTGCTTCCGCTGTTGCTACTCCTTCCTACTTCTGCTACTTCTGCTACTTCTTCCTCTGCTGCTTCTACTTCTATATATGCCACTACGAGTGGCACAAGCTTTGGGTTTGCAGGCTTGCAGCCCCAAGGAGAAAGTCAGCAAATGGTTGCTACTCATCACTCAAGTCCAAGCAGCCCTGGATGCCCAAGTCCAGGCGCAGGAAAAAATTTGGCAAGCATCTTCTCTGGCATCTGGTAGCTGGCAGTGGCTCTTGCGCAGCTGGCAGCAATGGCTTTCGCCAGCCCCATGAAGCTTGCTGGACCATAGCCTTCTTCTTCATTGCGTCCATGGCCAGCCAGGAATAGTAGCTCAGGATCTCCTGGGTGGCAGTTGAGCACTTCCCCTGGTCAATAGATGTAAAGCAAAGCTGATACCTATGTTTTCCTCTGTCACCATCTTGATGCTGCTCTGCCAAATTTTCTGCTGCATCTGCAAGCCATCGAAGCCTTCTGCCTTTCAGATGCTTCAGGCATGGGTAGCCTGTGCGCCGCAACATCATTTTTCTGCAGTTTAGTGA